TCCCTCTGGGTGGTAGGGTGGGGGAACCTCTACGCAAGCGGTGTTTCCCATCCTCTTCTCTTACAAGGACGCGTCAAGTGGCTCATTGCCACGAGATTAAGATTGAGGCTTCTGTCTTAACAACTAGCGCGACGAGCACGACGGGCGCGACTTTTCCGAAACCCTGCGATTCTCAGGAGATTCTCGGAGATGGCTTGCTGGTTCTTTGGAACACGCCAGATGACCTGCCGGACGGTCCTATTGATTTTGAACATGTTGGGTGGTGAAATACGGTCAATTGTGTGCCCTCTTAGAGTTCCTTGTTTTCGATATAGATTTAGTTATATAGTATAATACACCATACACGCGCCCCATGTGATGATGTTGCAATCGGATAAATGTTCACTTGCAGGATCACCCTCGGGCAGCTTGCTCTGCTGCACTCGCACAACAGCAGGCTCGACCAAGAAAACTTGCCAGTTTTTGACCAACATGAGGCGCTCGGCGCTTTGCTACTTTGCACATTTTGGAGGCTTTGGTGAAGTTGAATGATGCCTACGCCAGCCTTGGCTTGCCAAGCATTGCAATCCGAATCGGTTTGCACACCGGAGTTCCTTGTCATTTGGAAAAGATTGTGTTTGCATCTATGCACCCGGCTTGCAGATTTACCTGCCCGCTACGACTATTTCGCAACTCTTGGGTTGGCAGTGTAATCTTGCCCTCCACTGATTGGAAGGGAAGCTTGTAAAGTGAGCACCAGCTTGCCAGCTGAACTAGCCTGAGGATGTCCTCGCCGGTAACATTGGCAGTTGCCAAAAAATGAAGTATGGCTGCATGGGTGATCCTGTGAATCTTGCAAGTCGCCTAGAAGGACAGATGGTTTCGATGTCTCAGCTTTGTCACATATATAAGTGAGCTACACCGATCTTTTGGATGTTTCATGCCAGTGTTATTTCAAAGGCAGAGCCCAGACGACAGGCCTCGCGAAGCACTACGGTGTTAGCACGCTGTGCTCCTCTGCCACCCGTTCCAAGTTGCCAGCTGCCTTCTTTTGCCGGAAGCTGGATTTGGTTAAAGTCAAGGGCAAAGAGGAAGCCGTGTGGATCTATGACCCTCAGACTGCAACAGGTCACTGGGTGACTGTTTTCTGCTACAGCCTACACAATACGTCCCTCCATGCTACTTTAAACGGTACAGAAGATGGACAGCTTGATGATTAGCATGATTCCGAGCCCCTTCTCGATTCTAAGAAAGAAGGCAATTTTAAAGCGGAAAAGGTGTGTGGCCCACTGACTGTTGTCAGATTGGACGAGCCATAGACATAACTTGTGCTATCTCTTTCTCGTACTTTGCTAAGGAGCTGATCCATGAGATTCCAAGCCCAGAGAGACGAGTGAAAGTGCAGATGTATGAGCAGGCGCTTCACGCCTTTCACCAAAGAGATTTTGCCACTTGTCCAGCGGGAGGGAAGACGGGGTGAAGACGAAGCAAACTGGCTCAACTGCAATGGAGCAAAGGAACCGCATGGTCATTACAGTATTGGATTTGGCGAGGCATGCTAGAATATTTGGTGCTATATAGATCAAGGCAACTATCGGTGGTTTCATTTTCAGCAGCTTGAGATGGTGTTGTATGTACCGGGTACCGTTCGCAGCTCGGAAATGCTAGACACCTGCGTGATGATCGTGATTTGCAAGCCAAGGTCACTGCCGTTCGCTTGCTGCAAGGGCTGCTGGCGCAGGAGCGTTGTTTGGGTGCTTCTTTAAAAAAGTTCCATGCATCAACTTCCTGCACTATCCAAGAACCTGCTTTGTCCGGGTGAATCCAAGCCTTTCAGGAACCTGATGCAGCAGCTGCACAGCTTCTGGAGCGAGCTTTGGAGGCGCAGCGTGGACCGCTCCCTCCCACTTGGACACCTGCCACTGGGCAGAAGGAGTCGTTTTTGGACGCTACTGAATTGACGTTTCGAACGTGAGTGCAACTAGCAGTCTTGAGGTCATGGAGATGACTGAGAAATAGGATGAAATAGGTCAGAGATTGGTTAAAGGTAGAGTTTCACCTTGGGCATGTGTCTTCTTCCGTGAGCGTGGCAGCACATGGCCGCCAAACATAGCCTTCAAGCTGTTGGTGTATAGCGGCAGCATTCTTGAATGTCCAGCGTCAGCACAAAGTCTGGCAGAATTCGCGGGCACAGAAGCTTCGCCACAAGTGCTTGCAGGCACTTCCCTAGAAAACCGCCGAGGTGTTTTGGTCACATCCACAAGCTGTAGATGGGCTCTCAAGACCACACCCGATAGAAATCCCAAGGCCGAACGCCAACCCCTCTGAGATCAAGAAGGCCTGGCTGCGCCAAGCCTTGTAGCTCACGCAAAGAGGAATGCTGTTGTGACATCGGACAATGCCGGTTTTTGAGGCATACTACAAAGAGGCAAGGCTGCTGGAGACTTAGAGCTTTTTGGCTCCTGGCTTGGATCTCTAGCGCTGTCCTTGCAATGCGTACCCTGACTGGACAGTGATAACATGTGTGTGATAACGCTTAGAGCGGGCTATTTGATCAGAGCTGTTTGGGAGAAGCGCTGCGCTGAAATTGAAGGCCCGCTTTGTTGAATTTGGTGTATCTATCTTTGGGAAAGATAGATTCTGGGTTGCGCCCCCGGGGTTGATTGATGGATTCAGCAGCACTTGGCCCCATTTGTTGCAACGTGCGATGCCAAAACCTTCGCACCTGGGGTACAACCGACCAGTGGTCAGCACGACAAGAATCCAAGTGCGATGGGGTGCTGTTGTGCGAACATTGTGCTCGATGATGCTGTGATGACACCGATGACTCAATGATACTCGCTGACGTTGGTTTATGATGCTGCCCTTGTGGTGTACAAACTTCACCCACAACACTCGCATACCCCACACCCAAACAAAGCTCACCCCATCAATCTTTAAGCGCGCTGACTTTGATCCTTTGCGGCACATATTGACTCCTAGTGTCCATGTGGGCACGACCTTTCCACGGAGTCTGAGGTGCCATCCTGACAAAAATCCTGGGGATGCTGAGGCCACAGCAAAATTCCAGAAGTAAATGCCTGAGATTCCTTATTAGAAACCGAATCCTAGCTCATGCATAGTTGTTCTTGGCATTCCGGCATGGCCAAGGCTGAGTACTATCTACCAGGCAAGTGGGTCAGATTTCGACGACGTTTGAAGTGAATTTGGTGACCAAAGGATAGCAAAGGGTAGTAATTAGAGAAGGAAGGAGTTATCCCAATGGGAAGGAGCTGTAAATTTGGAAGGCGCGGTTGGCCCGGCAGGTCCTTTCAGATCCCGAACTCCGAAAGAAGCGCGGTCCCAGCTGCGAGGGAGCATAACTGCAGATGTGGGGTGTTTTCTGAGCCAATTTTCTTTTCGAAGAATCCGGGAGCTTTGTTGATTTTTACTCAAAGCTTGGTCAAAGCTTGGCTGATGTCGCTCTGGAAAGGTTCAGGTTGGATGAGTTTTGCTGGCCAGGTATGACCGTGATGGCAAAGATGGAGTCGACAAGCAGAAGACGGTGCAGATGGACCCCAGGACGCCCGGAAATGGAGTCAACCACCAGAAAGATCATAGAACAGCCGGGCATGAAATCATGGAGCGGGGAGGGAGTCGGGAAAACGCGACTAGAGCTGCGAAGCTGCGGAAAAGACCCCCTCGAGACCCCCTCGGTGGCGGGTTGACCTTCGGTGGATGGGTCACTACGCACAACGAAGATCACTGGTCACTGGTACATCAATTCACTTTGAGGGGAGTTTTAAATATATAGTTTTAATCAGGTTTAGGGCTTCTACACCTTAGAATGCTGCCCCAAGAGACTCCTTTGTGCGTGAGGTCCCACCAAGACCCCATTCGCGAGACCCCTATGCGATCTCCACAGGGATTACAGCACCACACACGCCCACAACGCACCAGGCCTCCTCAAGCCCTGTAAAAACGAACCAGTGGATCTTAATGGTACAGAATGAGGGTCCAAATTATGCAACTCAGGGGCCGTGCTGGGCCGTTCCGTGGGGATTTGAAAGAGCTGGAAACCTGCCTGGCACTGGTGGAACTCGTCCAGGGCATTCTTCGGACTGCTTTTTGGATCCGAGCGCTTCGAACCTTGGACGGGCGAGTTCCGAAGCGGCAGAGAGATTCGTGGGCCGTTCAGTGGGTTTGGCGAGGACGGAGGTCAGATCAGAAGGGTAGCCACTTGGGGAACGATGCTGTCATATGACTTACGTACTCGTATTTAAAGACGAATCCCGCATTTGTGTTCCGCAGATTCTCGGCTTCAGCTTATGGGGGAGGTTCACAACTGGCGCGAGTGTAAGCGCCAGTTGTGTCTCATCTCCCAGCGGCTCCTACTCCTCGTCTACAATCAGCGATTGGGCGAGGAATTCTCACGATCTTGTGTGAGGAAGCTGAGAGAGTGCTACCTGGAGCTGCTCGACGACGCGGAGAGCCGCTCGGCTGAGGGTGTTGGGGCTGCCACCTACTCGACACCAGCCTTCAAGACAGAGAAAGGCTCTGGAGGAACTGCCACTCCTGCCAGAGTCAAAGAGAAGGAAGAACAGTCATCGGAGAAGGAGGAGCCCAGCGAGGAGGAAGGAGCGACTTCAGCACCCACTAGCCGCAGAGTGGGAGGAACCAGTGAGCCTCCCGTGACTACCCCGGAAGATCCTCGACGTGAGAAGAAGAAGAGATCAAGGTCCCGCCGCCGTCGACGCAGGTCAGAAGGCAAGAAGTCTCCAAGAGAGGACAGAAGTGCCAGTAGGGGGAGAAGCAAGCGCTCCCGGAGTCACGTCGAGGCCAAAAGAAGTCCCAAGAAGGCTCGATCACCTGACCCTGATCCTGAACGCAAAGGTTCGACAAAGGCTTCAACTGAACCAGAACGTGCAGCACGTCCCAAGTCACCGCCATCCCACTTTGATCCAGCAGCACGAAGAGCCGCCCCACCGCCATCGACAAGAGCCTCCTCCCGTGAAGAGTCCGAGGGAGGCAGAAAGGATCGAGACAAGGTGCTGCCTCGAAGGAAGCCGCAAGAACCCGATCATCCGCCGCCGGGGCATACCGACGTTGACGTTGCCGCTTGGAGCGAGTACCGAGCCTTCCCAAAGTCCCAGGGTTACAGGTACTGGCCAGGTCGAAACCGTGGACATCAGCCTACCGAATCCAAGGGCAGGACCAAGCGGGAGAAGAACCTCAACTACAGGCTGTGGAACGAATACGACCGTGAGCAAGGTCGTAGGTGATGCCGCCAAAGGTGCTTCGGAGGCCGGCCGGTCGCGCTTTGGCCCCCGGTCGCCATCGAGGAGGACGAGAAGGAGTGTTGAGAAGGCCTGCGCTTCGCCCTGGAGAGGGAGATGCACGAGAAGCGAGTGGGATGTGGAGGTCCATCCCGGAGCTGTCCATGGAGGAGATTGGAGGCCTGGACAAGGTGATCGTAGAAGGCAGGTATTGGGAGGCTCCATGTCTGGTCGCGGGGGTCGTGAACGGTCTGAACTTCCGCGGAGAAGATCGAAAGTTGAGGCTTCTGGTCACGGGCACTCAGACAGAGAGCTTGCTCAAAGCAGTCGCGGGAAGATGCAAGGAGATGGAAGTCCACCTCTGCAGTCAGCCTTGCGAGAACCAGGTGTGGAACAACAGCTTGCTTCGTGGCGAACGACTCCGAGTTCAGTCAGATCCAGTCGAGGAGTGGTGGACAAACCTGGAGGATGCTCGAGGTCGAGGAGCTGGCGTGCAGGAGGAGCACGACACAGGAGATCAGCTCGCAAAGTTGAGGACAGAGATGAAGCGTGTCGTGGAGGGGGTGACTGCTGAGGAGTACTCCCCCAAAGGAGGGGCTGCTCCCGTGGTCGAGGGAGAAAAGGAGAAGAAGGTGTCAAAGAAGAAGGTAAAAAAGAAGGAGAAGGAGAAGACAAGGCCGTGCTTGGAGGCCCCGTTGAAGAACATGTTCGATCGCACCGGCGTCGATCCAGATCCTCAGGCGAGAAAGACCATGATGCGAAAGGCGCAAAAAGAAGAAGAAGGGCAGTCGCTCCCGCAGTCGAGGGAGAGAGGATCAGGACAGCGACAGTGTCAGCGACAGTTCGACTACCACATCAAGCTTGCGGAGGAGCTGATCGGTTCCAGCGAGTTGTTCGAGGCCGAACGACGGGCCCTGCAGATATGGAAAAGGGTCCCTGGTGGAGCGTTGTCTTGCGGGGTGCTACAGGACATGAGACAAAGCCTGATGACGGGGGTGGACCTGTACCGTCCCGAAGCCCCGTGGGACTGACGGAAAACCTCAGCATGCTATACGAGAGATTCGAAGTTTGGGATCGGACTATGGACCCGGTGGACTTCGATTCGTTTTTCAGAAAGAGAGGGGTCACCTATGCAGGGGAAGAGATTCGACTTGCCCAGACTTTGTGTTGGGAAGCGGTTCGCAATTCACTCCCCGAACAGGTTGGACAGCTTAAGTTGGTTGACTTCTGCACTGAGGGCACCCTTCATTACATTAAGCGTCTGGAAGACTTCTTGATTCCGTCGGACGCCGGTTCGTACGCGACCCCCAAAGGTTATGGTTGGAGATGACTGGACAGCCCTCAGCAGAGGCCTGGTGGAACGCGGCATCTGGGAAGTTTGGCCTGTGGAAGAGCTCTACCACATCGGTCAGGAGCCCTTGCTGAACGGGTTATTTGCGGTCGGAAAGGGTGAATTCGTGGGGGCCCTTGAAACTCAGAGACTCATCATGAATCTTATTCCGTTCAACAAAGTCTGTGAACCCCTGGTGGGAGAAGTTTGCACCCTCCCGTCAATCGCTTCTTTCCAAAGCTTCTTATTAGATGAGGGGGAAGTAGTGATGATGAGTGCAGAGGATATTCGGTGTTTCTTCTACTTGTTCCAGGTTCCCGCTGAATGGAAGAGGTTTTTGGGTTTCAACAAAGAAGTGGATGAAGCCCTGATTCCGCGACAATGGAAGGGCAAGCGCTGTGTCTTGGTTTCAAGGGTGTTGCCCATGGGCTTTATCAACAGTGTATCGATCGCACAGCACATCCACCGGAACGTGGTGAAGTGGAGTCAGCAGTCAACCCCACAAGGTCTAGGAGGTGAGACAGAGATGAGACGTGATAGAGTATATAGGGTCTTCATCGTCCTCGTTGTTTCGCGTTTACCTTGACAATTTTGACTTGCTGGAACGCTACAGTCGAGAGCAAGCGGAACTCATTCAGGGCACAGTGGCACAGACAGTTCAAGCCTTGAGGGAGGAGTACTCCCGTTTGGGTTTGCCTCGCCATCCAAAGAAGTCCCCTCAGCGTGCTCTCAAGGCAGAAATACAGGGCGCCATTGTTGATGGTAGTCTAGGATTTGCCATGCCACGTCTGGAGAAAGTGCTTCTCTACGTGTTCTTGGGCCTAAGCCTTGTGCAACGGAGGTACTGCACCTTGAAGGAGCTACAGGTGGTCTGTGGTGGTTTTGTGTACTTCTGCATGTTCCGTAGGCCCTTGCTGTGTGCCCTCAATGAGGTTTGGAGGTTCGTGGAACGCTTGAAGCGCTTTCCCCCAGTGGTGCGCATGCCGTTGCCCAGGCAGGTCACGAGAGAACTGTTGAGGTTCATCTTGCTGCGTCCCTTAGCGCAGATGAGCTTTAAACTACCTCTGGGAGAGCATGTCACTTGTAGCGATGCGTCGAAAGCAGGAGGTGGCTTCTGTGTGAGCGAAGGGCTCACGGGGTATGGTGTGGCCGCACTGGACTCTGAGGTAAGAGGGGACATCCCGGAGGAGATTCACACCACACAAGTGTTGACTGTGGGTTTGTTTGACGGACTTGGTGCTCTGCGTTTGGCCGTTGATGCGCTCGGTATTCCAGTGGCAGGTCATCTGAGTGTGGAGAAGGAGGAGACGGCAAAGCGTGTAGTAGAGTCCTACTTCCCCGATGCTATCTTTCACAATGACGTCCAGACCGTTGATGGCCCCTTGGCGCGTGACCTTAGTCTTCGGTACCCTTCGGTGGGACTGGTGCTGATATCTGCAGGTCCCCCCTGCCAGGGGGTTAGTGGTTTGAATGCAGGAAGGAAGGGTGCTTTGCTGGACTCGCGCAGTAGTTTGTTTCAGGAGGTCCCTCGCATCAAGGCCCTGTTTGAGGAACACTTCCCCTGGGCACAGACACATTTTTGCTCATGGAGTCAGTGGCATCGATGTCTGATGAAGATCGAGAGGTCATGAGTCGTACAGTGGAGCTACACCCCTACTTCATTGACTTGTATTGGGTCTCCTGGGAACTAACCTCACAGGAGGGAGCACAAGTGATTGCTCCCGGGGAGTCCACGTGGAGTAGCACTGGATCGGTGGAGTTGAACGCCCAGGTTCATGCTAAGTGTTTGGTGGAGAGCGGTTGGACTTTGCCAGAAGGCTGCAAATTCCCAACGTTTACGACTTCCAGGCCTCGGTCAAGTCCAGGACGACGCCCTGCAGGTTTGGATAGGTGTGCCGAGCATGAGAAAAAACGTTGGTTGGATGACCAGCATCGCTTCGCACCATACCAATATCGAGACCATCAACTCCTATGGAACAAAGCAGGTGCAGGCAGGTTGCCAAATATCTCTGAGCGTGAGGCCTGTATGGGCATTCCTGTGGGTTACACCCGTCCTTGCGTTGGCAAACAAGACCAGAAGTTGGAATGACATTCGGCTCACGTTGGTTGGCAACTCCTGGCAGGTAGGAGTCATTGCGTGGTTGGTGTATCAGCTTTGCTACAAGTTAGGCCTTTGCAGGAGTCGTTCACTGCAGGACATCGTGGACGCCCTCACTCCAGGTAGAGGCAGTCATTCTGGGAAATTGGTTTCTCGCCTTGAAGGGCCGTTGCTGCGCAAACTTTTAGGTTTGGTTTCCATCAAAGGAGAGGACTTGATGGTGCAGTCAGCCAGTGAACCACAAGTCAAATTCCATAGGTTGCGTACAAGCGTGCCTGCAAAGCTGTGGAGGTGGCGAGGGGGAAGCGTTCAGGTGAGCACAAAAACATCCTCGAGATGCGCGCTGTGTTGACTACTTTGCGCTGGATGGTGCAGCGCAGGGCGGTTGAGTGGTTGTCGTGTCTTGCACTTGATCGACAGTCTTGTGTGCTTGCATGCTTTGTCTAGGGGCCGTTCTTCCAGTCAGAAACTTCGCTCAGTGTTGGTGAAAGTCAACTCGTTGCTCCTCGCTGCGGACCTACACCCCTGTTGGGGGGTATGTGCATACAAGTCAAAACCCTGCCGACCGGCCTAGCAGAAGGGTTCCTGAGCTCGAGCAGTGGGGGGAGCCTACGTCCAGTGGCCAGTCAGTACTACAGGCAGCATCTTCAGAGTCAGGTCGGCCCTGTCATGGGCCGGGAGATGCAGCATTGGTGCTTGGTGGTGGATTTGATGCTGCGAGGACGGCCCGCTGCCGCGTTGGACGTGGCCTCCCAAAGGATCAAGAGCTTGGAACAGATCGCAAAGGGGGTCCAATCAGACATCGCAAGAAGGCTAGAGTTGGTTGGACCAGAAAAGGCTTCTCTCGTGTCCACCCACGAAGCGTCGGAGGCAGGCAAAGAAGTGCTACAGGAGGAGCGGATTCACTATCGGAACTCCCGAGGTCGAGCGTGGGAGTGGCAAGGAGAAAGGGATTGGTCGAAAGGGGGCAAAGGCAAAGACGCAGGGAGAAGGGAAAATCAGATGGCAAAGGAAAGGGAGACAGGGACAAAGGAAAAGGAAAATGGAAGCGCGAAGAGGACAAACAAAAGTAGAGGGGTGTCGCGAGGAGGCTGAAGCTGATGACTGTGGAGAGATGGTGGCAGAAGAGTACAGTGAAGGAGGACCTTGTGGCAGGGGTCCTTTTTCAAAGGAGGAGCAATGCAGAGGCCGCCCTTTGCGCGAGGAGTTTGTCCCGGCTTGAGGGAGGCGAGAAGAGAGAAGGTGAGGTCGTGAACGAGGCCTCCAATGATGCTGCTCGGAGCTCTGCCCGTGAGGCTGAAGATGCAGGAGTTCCGGTCGGAGACAGGCCGACCTGGTCCCTCCCGTATCAGGACGTGAGTCCGAGGCCGTTAGCAGCAGTGTTTCACCCAGTACCATGATCCAGGCCATGAATGCGGCACGGGTTCTTCTCGAAAGACTTGACGAAGAGCGCACGCAGTCCACGGCAATGGAAGACTTATGTTTACCCAATATTTTTCCCCTTCCGTTGCCCCCTTGCCGCAATGAGAAGTCTGGAAAGGCGTGTGAGCAGTTGGTATTCGGCCTCAATCACTTGGCCATAGGACGGCCTCTTCGGCGCAAATGGGGAAAGTGAGTGTGCACCTAGAGGGACGCAGCAAAGAGGAGCGAGCGAAGCAGAGACAGATCCTTGGAACGTTGAAGCAGTTAGCCTTACAGCCCAAGACACGCAAGCGCTACCAAGCCGCACGTGAGAAATTCTATGCGTACCTGCAGGAGAACCACCTTGAACTCCCCCGTAGTCTTCCCGCCTTTGATGACCTGTTGTCCGACTATGTGGAGCACTTATGGGCGTCAGGTGAAGGGCGGGCCCTTGCTAGTGATAGTGTTGCACCTCAGCTGAAGGGGAAGCTTCAAGGGACTTGGTGCCTGTTGAAGACATGGCGCACCAATGAGGTGCCAAACCGGGCACCGCCACTGCCCGAGGCAGTTCTTGAAGCCATGTTAGGATGGTGTCTTTTCAATGAGCACTACGCCTTCGGTCTTTCCTTGTTGTTGGGTTTCTACGGCCTCCTCCGTATAGGGGAGTTGCTCTCCGTATGTAATCACCACGTTTTGATGACGGCCCCCAACAAGCCCGCGGTGGTGTCGTTAGGCTTGACAAAGGGCGGCAACCGAGCTGGTGCCTCTGAGAGCATTACAGTGACCGTTACACCTGTCCTCGCCTGGTTTTGGGCTTGGAAGAAGACTTCAAGTTCGCACAGCCCGCTCACCCCTCCTCCACACCAGTGGCGTACCAGATTCAGTGAGTGCTTGTCTGCGCTGTCATTGAATGACATGGGCTTTCGCCCTTACTCGCTCCGGCGAGGGGGGCGCCACATTTTGGTTTGGTAAACACGGATCACTGGATAAAATCCTGATCCAGGGGCGTTGGGCAGCCGCCCGTACTGCAAGAATCTATCTGAACGAGAGACTTTGCGTTTTAGCCCAGCTTACACTGCCAAAGAAGGCCTTGTTGCCTTATACACGCCTGTTTCACTCCCTGAAACTTCACGACTTGCCTCGAATGCTTGAGCGTACTAAAGCAGGTAAGGGAAACGTGGAAGGGGGACTAGGGGTTGGATTTTTTCCAAAGCGGAGACTGTGTGTTCTGTGTCATGAGAAAGACGAATAGGTACCTGGGCCCACGCCTTCCGGTTTGCGGCGGGTTTGGGGGGTACGAGGGGTGTTACCTCCTTCGTGGTCTGGCCGAAGGGGGTAGCGCTGGGCCTCTGATGTGTGTGTACTAAGGTGATGATGAACGTCTTTCTCCTCATCTCAATTTTCTTTCAATTTTGACACAACCCTGCATGCGCGGAAAAACTTGCGAGTTGAGTCTTTATATATATATATTCATTTATTTATTTTTAAAACTACATTACTCATTGTTGCATTGCAACTTCATCGGAGGGCACGTGCCACTGCATGATACCATGTGATATCAACATTGTTGATGGAAGAACTAGTTGAAGTGCTTTGAGGCTCTTGATTGCTGCTCAAGCGGACCATTTTACAAAAGCAAATGAAGATGATGAGATGCCCGGAGCCAAGATGTTTTGCACGATGTGTGCACCACCACAAGGACTGCATGCCAATGCCGCCAATGCCTAGTGTTTTTTCAACCCGATTTCAAGTTGCTGACTCCGTGGGTATCTGTGGATGTTTTCGAAAGACTTGTCGACCTCCAGGTCGGAGCTGGAGAAAAGCCTCAAGAAGCGCCAGCTTCGTCGCGAGGCGCTGGACTCAATGACCCAAAAGCGGCGGGTGCGATCACAACCATCTTAGAGCGATTCAACAATCGAAACTGATGTTCCACTTGCTTGAGACCCCGGAACCTGTAGCACTTCAGGTTGCTTGTGCTGTGAATCTCCGTGAGCGGTGTGCGAGATATGCCGCGAGCTTGATTTGTGGATGGACATGCCCTGCCTGAGTCCCGCTGCTCGACGTACCCAGCGGTGTGCGACCCGGCACTCCCCAATGCTGTACACCAAGGTGTATGGCCGGGATACCGAGGGCTTTAAGGCCAGGTTGTTTGCCCGAACCATTTTGGTTTGGACAATGGTGCCAGCCTTCACAAGTTTTGAGGCAGGTCGATTGTAGAAAGGCGTCCTCTCGGCCGATTCAATCAGAGAGCCTCCACGACACCATTTGCCATAGAACTAGACCCAGCATGGGCCGATGAGTAGCTTCATTTGTGTGTGGGGGTGCCACAACACTCGAGCGACGTTTCGAGAAATCCGGAGAATTCTTCACCCAACTGGAAAGGAACGGGTTTGCAAGTTTCCATTGCTAGAACTCACTTCATTTGAGCCAGGCTCAGATGCGGAAGGAAGCTTCAGAACTTGACTTGGACTCAGCAGGGCCTGGGAAAAAAATTGAACTCCTGGGAGGCAACGCGTTGTTGAGTGCTTCCAACGATGCCTTGAATCCTCGATTCAAATAGTCGACTTTTATGATGGCAACCGTTGACATGTTCTTCCAACTCGTGGTAGAATGATTCGGCATGATATGCCTAAGCAGCTCTGCAACTTGGCACGTGTGCCCATGTGCAAGCCTGTACCAGCCACGAGGCTTCCTCACAGTTTGGACCCGAGCTCTTGCAGGCTCTGGGTGAGCCATGACCTCATGTCCGGGAGATTACGTTTGAGTTGAGGGTGAAAGTATGTTTTCGCTTGCTTGATTAGTGGTGCTTTCCTGCATGTTCTGCTCACCCATCAAGCCCATCATTCATCGGAGTCTTTCTGCCTTGCTTTTGTGCTGGTTCTCCACTTCGACTCTAAGGATGTACTTGGTACGTTCTGAGAGGGGAGCTTAGTGCATTCTCAGAGCAGCATCACGTGTGTTTTTCTACTGCGACCTGACACTCCTTATTAAGGATCTACCTGGCCAATGAGCTCCATGGCCGTATCTCTCTCACCAAGTCGCGCGCATCAATGAAGCACAATGGCGGGGATGCTTGGACTTACACGCGGGGAGAGCAGCAAAACGTGGTTGGTGTTTTCTTATCGTTTTTCTTTGGGTTCTCCTTTGCTGTCGGTTGGCGTGGCTTCTGGCCGCCATGTCCCGGAGGCCTAGTCCTGAAGCACCGCTTGCGCTTCTACAAGCCCGGGTGCTTGGTGAAGGATGTCCTGCACTTCACATGTGTATCCTTGTGCATCTGTACATCTACATCAATATAACCTTGGCAAACCAAAGATGTATCAGCAAACTGTTCAAGGCACTGCTCAGCATGTCAGCTTTCGTTGGTCGATTGCCATCGTTGTGCTGCTTGGCCAAGGAATGCCGCTGGAAGCCTGATCAAAGCTGGTAAGGCGGGGTTCGGAAGTGCCTCCAACCAGTGCGTGAGGGCGGTTTGCAGCCTGAGCCCCACGAGCTTCAGGCATGTGAGTGTGGGTCAGGTGTACAGTGCGGCGAGCAAATTCTCAAAGGAGGAGCCTACACAGACAGAAGGTCGGATTGTCAAGAAAGTCGTGCGTCTGTTTCCATCCCAATCATAGATTACTCTGAAGCTTTACAAGTTTTACAATATGTGCAACTTGTGTATGATGTACTTCGGCCCTTCCGTCCTATTCGCTAAGTAACATGCAAACTCTCAACACTAAGTGCCCATCCATTTCTGTCTTCCCCTGACGTGCTTTTGCTGACGTGCTCCTGTCTTCCTGTCTTTGTTCCTTCACTCCTCACTCCTTGGCCCGTTCCGACCGCGGGCCTCAGGTGAGGGCCCCCCTTTGAGTGAAGAGCAAGCCCAGGAGGCCCTCCAGACATTTTAGATACTGTAACGAAACGCCAAAAGAAAGTGCAGCAGATCGGCATTCCAAGTGCCAGGAGATGGACTTGGATGGACAGAAGTAAAGGGACAACGTATGATAACGGTGACTTTTTGAGACTTCTATGACATCCAAGAGCTTGGCGCATCCACACACACGACTGAACGCGCTTCGGCTGCGCAGACTCAGCGAGGTCGAACGCGTCATGGATGATGCACTCCCACTCTTTTTGCAGACCGCATGGTCGTACGTGGTGCGTGACATTGATCGAACAGTGGCTCGGCTGAACCCAACTTCACCGTGTCAGCCTAGATTTGACCCCAAATGGCGGCTTTGTTGATAGGTGTTTCTGGTCTTTGGAGAGCTCAATAGTAGCAAAACTTGAATTCTTTTTCGGCTACCTGTGTTTGGTTTTTTCTATACTCACGAACGCGAACTCTGTTCAATGACTTGAGACTCTTTTGCCTTGCCAAATCCCACTTTCCTTTGGGTGCACGTTTTTTCGTTCTTTTTTCCTCAAACACATTTGAATAGAGCAAATTTCTTATTAGTACCTAGCTAATTACAGCAATTTCGTGTCCTTAGCCGAGACACAGGTGTCGTAGCTAGCAAAATACATTGGAATAGTGTAGGTGTCAGAGAAAGTCCTACGTTAGCAGAGAAACAGTAAAGATAAAGAGAACCAGCACAGGAGGCATATATGATTGGTTAGAAGTTTATGCCCCGGGGAGTTCACTTTAAAATATTGATTTCGTGGCAGGCACGGGTGTCGGAGATGAAGTGCAGATTTCGTGGCGCGGGGGGGGGTTGGGGGGGGGCGCAGCCCCCCCCCCAGCAGCACACCAGATCCAAAGGTTAGAAAGCAAACAGATGGAAAAGCAAAAACAAAAAGAGAAAGGAGAACAGCTGCCAAAGCAGAGAAGCAGCAAAAGCAAAGAGCAGAAGTACAAAAACACAAAAAACAGAAAAGCAGCAAAAGCAGAAAAGCAACAAAAGCAGCAGAAGCAGAAAAGCAAACGCAGAAGAGCAACAAAAGCAAAAAAGCAGCAGAAGCAGAAACGCAGCAAAAGCAGAATCCGAAAAAAATCACCCCACAAACATGAAAAAACCATCCGAAAAAAAACGTCCCTCCCTTTCCTTTGCATTGCCATGTCTTTTTTGGCCTGGTCAAGGTTCGGGATGTTGGTCGGAAGTTCCTGCAGGACAAGTCAGTGTGCGGCACTCAGAGCCGGCATGTTCTCGAGAACTTGGCAGAAAAACGGCCGGCACAACACACTTTTCGGCCTAGTATAACTTAATACAGTAGTAGTTTAGTTTAGTAATGTTTTGTATAGTAGATTGTCATTTTTAGGATCGCTTGTGAACCGATGTGATCTCTCATTGGAATTGAGGTTGTCGATCACCTGAGGCCATGGCAAATCCGCATTCGCAGAGCTGAAGCTTTGAAACTTCTAGGCCGGTCACGGATCAAGGGGAGCGAGATCATGAAATCTAGGTATTTTCAACCTTTACTTGGAATGATTGAATCCGCTGACTAGTATTTTTCGAGTGAATTGACACCGCCAACCAGAAATAATGTTTCAGGCATTTTCAGGCATTCTAGATTGCCTCCTGGGCAACGAGGTGAGATCTTCCAAGCAGAGGCTACGGCCGCCAAAGCAGCTGGACCGGAGCAAGGCACGTAAGCCTTGTTGAGGTCCCGAGCTGCTGAGGCCACTATGCAAGTTACTACAAGCAAGATGAAAAAAGAAAGAAGAAAGCAGATGATAAAGAACAGGAAGATAAAAACAAAAGGAGAGCCAGGAAAGTGAAAAGAACAATCTAGAATAAATAGACAACAATAATAGTAATATAACATGTACATACACACAGATATATATATATATATATGCAGCAGACGACATTGTGCCCCGGCAATTTGCATGTTGCATAGACGCCAGCTTGGAGTTTCTTACTCAACAAAGGGGCCCCTTTGAAATGCACGGCTGAACCCCAACGTGGTTTTACTTTAAAAGATTGTCTTTGCAAGCTTCGATTCTCAGCTACACCATTCGAGTCGGATGGACTGGCCTTTTCGATCCCCGGGAGTGTAGTGTCGATCAGGTGCCGATGGCACAGCGAAAGCCGTGCTGCAAGAGGCCGGCTGAACCCCATGCGACGAAGCCGAGTTTGCGTACAGCTTGGTCGTCAGGCAATGCTTGGGGCCATGAGCCAGCGGCCAAGGAATGGAGGAATCAAATCCAGCTTGTGAGCTGGGCAATTCAGAGGGTGTGCATTGTTGATTCATTCTGCTTTAGTTGGCTGGCAGCCTGCAACACTTTTGAGAGTTTTTGAGTGTGTTTTGCTGTGCTGCCTGCTGCCAAGGGTGACACAGCTTCGCAAGCCCTGTTGCGCTTGGCGACAGGAGGCGCTTTTCCTCTCATTTCTCCAGCCATCGGTCTTTGGCATGTTGGAAGAGAGGAGAGACGGCTTTTGTCCAACCTGAATGGAATGGAAGATGATTCAGAGCAGGCTTGCCAGTCCCAAATTCCGATGGTCTGAGCCTTTTCATGATCTACGAGGGACATGCGACTTGCATAGCTTTGGGCTTTGGGCTTCCTGGATTTCCAGGACGTGCTCAAATCCTTGCTCGGGAGCCACTGCTCCTGCCTTTTGCAGCTTAGTTGCGTAGCACAGACTCAGCCTTTGGCCGGTTTTGGCCGGAAGATGTACAGGACCAATCAAGGCCTAATCCTTGCAGCGAACAGAACATGTCCACATGGTTCAAAGGTATCGCACAGGCGGATCATTCAGTCGTGGGTTGAGATTGTTCGTACGCATCGCTGAACGTATTTTGAGCATGGCCATGCTGACTTGGACTTGGACTAAGCTGCAGCAAAAGCGTAGAAGGGCTGGTTTGACAACTGGTGAGTGCAACACAGTGCAACAGGGGACATGGATAAACATTAACATGAGACTCCTCGTTTCCATGACAAGGGTAAAGGTGTGGGAAGTTCGGCATGCTGACAGCAATAAGCTTTCAGTGCAGTTTTAGGGCGCTTGAGGATATTCCACACGTCGCAGCTGTAAGCCATTGCAAAGAGTCAAACGAGATCATATGAGTTTTGGCCTTCTTAAACTCTTGATGGATCGAGTGGAGAATGCCGGGCCGGTGGACGTATGCCACAGCCTTAGCAACAAATGAGAGTAAACAAGAGGGGACATACAAGACCCAACTCGACATCTACAAAACTCTGCAGAGTATTTGCGTGCACTATATGCGCACGACGTGCACTGATGTGCACTGCTTGGAGCGAAAGGGTCATGGGAGAAGACTAGACTTTGATGACTTGGTCACCTGAGGCGACACAAGCGAGGGATGTAGAAGACTTGGTCCCTGACACCATCGAGGTGTCCAGTGGTCAAAGCTTCGATGGATTCTGGGATCCTTGGCAGTTTCAGCATCTTGCAGTCATTCCTGTCAGTCCGCCACGAGCAACAGGTTGAAGAATGGTAGGTGATGGATGGTGATGGTGATATGCGGTGATCGCCTCACAACCGCTCGGCAGCAAAACTATTCTACTGACACTCACGTACACATTGTCGCTTTTCGTTGCTTTGAGATCATGGAGGCCAAAACTGATGCATGATGTTGTTTGATGCGCTCTGACATGCCTGTGCTATCCATACATGACTCTATGGCATAGATAAGATGAATGCGATGGGATGTAATGCAGGTCGCACTCCGCACCTCAATGAATTTGAACATGTAGTTTCTCAGGGATATTGGCGAATGTGAGGAGTATGTTTAGCGGAGTGTTTGGAAGGGCAACTTTTTTTGGCTTTTGGGCCCAGCTTGGAAAAGCAGCGACTTTGAGGAAGCAACTATGGCTGATGGAGACAGCACTTGCAGCACAGTTGTGGTTTTGTCAGGCAGGTCATGTCAATTGTGCAAATGCACAACCCTGTGCTGACGCTTTCCATGTCTTTGACGTGCAAACGCACATGCGAGGCCAAAATGTTTGGCACGAGGGCTCCCGCTTTGCCAGTATCAAAGTCCTGAATTCGCATACATGCGTGTTGATCATGGATGAAGATGACGTCAGAGGATATTTGAGTGCTGATGGGCACGAAATTGAATGGGAAGATGGAGACCGTTGGAGAAGGGCCAGAAAGATCACAAAGGACACAGATGAGATTCAAAAGCCAGTGTCGATCTCGGAGACAAACATGCAAGAGTGTGTATCCCCAGAGGCTTTGATCAAAGAACATCGAAGCACAGATCATACAACGAGCTCAGAACAAAGCCAGCTTGCTGTGGACAGTCTTCTCCAGCGTGATGCGCTGTCACTGCAACGTCTTTTGAACAATGGTATGTGCGCCGACACGTGCATCGACCCATCGCCTCTCTGGACCGACATTGGCTGGACACCAGAGGGTGATTCGCAAAGAACACCAACTCCCCTGCTCGTGGCGGCAATTTTGCTGCAATGGCCAGAGGCTCGAAAGAGTAGTTGGGCTGTTTTGGGTCATGAGTCATGTTCTGAAGCCCGACAAGTCCTCCAGGGGGTCCGAATCTGCGTGGACCGGAAGGCCAACGTGAATGGGACCTACGTGTGCATCTGAGATACAAGGGCCAATCACTTTGGAGGGTTGCGAGCTGTCCTTCACCAGCGGCAAATCCAGGCAGGGCCATTCCGCAGCTTCGATGGTTGCACGCTGCAAGAGAAGCGCCGGCCCAAGTACTGGGTATGAACGGCTTGTGAATATAAATCTGGCTGAGGTCAGGTGCCTCAATCCTCAGAGTCAGGGTCTCAGCCTTTCACGTCTCGTCGCACGCTTTCCATGGCACGTTTCAGAAACACGATGAGAGCCCCAGGTAGCACTGTCAGCCCGAGGGCCTTCACAATGCACCATTTGCCGGGTGACCAAGAGTGCCACCTTGGCCCAGCTGAAAACGCCCCTCCCGCTCAAAACAAGCGACTTGATGGACCGCGGGCTGATCATGTCATACTGTCATACGGTCATATTACAGTCGTCGCGCACACACACACAGAAATAAACATATACATATATACATACACAAATATATATATATATATTTAAGATTAAATATATAAGTTCCATAATTATTAATAGCTATATATACACACACCTATTTACACACAACATATACAACATATAATCTCACCATGTGACCGCATGTGAGTGACTTGTCCGTAGCATATGCGACTACAAGGCCAGCACGTTCTAGCAGGCCGAGTGCGCGGGAGGCAGGCGGCCAAGTCGATCGAGCATGATATGCATTTTTTGAGCCAGCTGCTAGGACCTTTCAAACACTCAAGAGGAAAGCCAAGGCCCTGCTCTTAGACCTTTCAGGTGGAGGCCATCGCTACTAGGTTGGAGGCCATTGCTATGAATGGCTTTGCTCTCGGCCTTTCGTGCGACTTTTGGACAGGACGAGATGGAGTTTGTGACCCGCGGTTTGTTTGAGACCTTTCAGGGGCCTTTCGCTGACAGCTAGCTGTCATGAAAATGGTGATCCTCATGTGTCCGGATTTATTTGGAGGAACCTTGGCGCAAGAGGATATGGCAGGATGTGGCGTCATCAGCACGGTAATGAAATGGCAATAACAATTACTATAGTTACTATGTTGTCCATGGTCATTCGTGGTTTGATTGGGTACTGCTGCATGCCTGCCCCGTAGGTTGGCAAGAGAGAGAGAGAGAGATTCAGAGACCGTAGCCATTTTGGCTCAAGTTTGGGCTCAAGGTTCGAGGTGGCTCAAGCAGGTGTGTCCGCCTTTGAGCTTCCCGAGGGCACTGGGGCATTCTCCTTGTGGAGCTCTCCTTTTCATCCTACCTAGAGGGTGACTGCACCTTTGCCCGTGATCCGAGCTTGACGAGGGCATTCTGAACTTTGCCTACATGATGAGTGGATGGGAGTTTCCACACAGGAGAGCCAGGAACTACCATGCCTGCCAGGGATGCACAGCTTCTTGGATCTGGAGTGACCGGATTTCGGACATCAGGTGGGGTTGCGACAAGTGTGGCACTCCATGGCCTACAGGAGGGCATCATTGGCAACCTGCTAGGTCACTCACCAAGAAGCTTCGGAAGCCTAGAGGCAGAGATCGGCAGACAGTGGAGCCACCACCTGGGCTTGTAGGCAAATCCAAGCAGCAATCCAATGTGGTTGAAACAACACTGACTCCGGAGCCAGAACCTCAGCCTTTGGAGGAGGCGCATCTGGAATCTTTGCCCAAGGAGGTCAAAGAAGTGGTGGAGGGCCTCTTGAAGCCTGCTCCAACGGCCATTGTTGATGTGACCAGGCCAAGGAGCAGTACAAGGCACTCTTGGATGAGCTCAAAGGTGTCCAAGAGGCCAGTGACAAGGAGCATAAGCAATTGGGTGATCAATCAGAAGCTTATGCAAAACAGTTGAAGGAAGAAGCTCTGTTTGCTACGCCTCCAGCGGAGCATGTCTTGGACCCAGACACAGCACATGCCTCGCTTCTCTACCACATTGCCAGTAAAGAGGTGATCAGTACTGGCACCATGGACCACCTGAGAGTGAAAGCAGCTGACCTCGATAAGAGATGGCAGGACATCCATGGCATTGACGCCGTCCGGCAAGGCCTTGAAGCCCTTCTAGCCAGTGATCCTATGCCACTGACCTTGCTCATCAAAGGTGCTGAATGCAACCGTGACTTTGCCAAAAGCAGGCCCTTGAGCACCAGACTGAAGAGTTTCAAAACTGGCTCGCGCAGGCAAGTTTGAAAGGGCAAAGTGGCATCTATCGGTGTTTGAAGGCACCGGACAATGTGCATGTGAGGCCTTTCAGAAATGTGCCAGTGCAAGATCGACAAGGCCTGAGGAAACAGCAGTGGCATGGCAGGTGGCAAGTGTTGGATCAGCCCAAAACCAGTGGTGAACGAGAACGACTTCGGTGAGAAGGCATTGTCCAAGCAAGAACTTGGGAGGACCTAGACCCTCACATGGTCATGCAAAAGCTCCGCAAGTTGCCTCAGAAAGCATGTGGCCCTGACGGCATCAGCTGCGCCATGCTCAAGAATTTGCCCATTGAAGGGGTCACGGAGCTATGCAGTATGCTGAGAAGGTGGGAACTCTCAGGACGCCTTCCAGAGCAAGTATGCGCAACGTTGGTGGTGCTGCTTCCTGAAAAAGAAGATGTGGAGAGGCCTATCTCCCTGACAAGTGTGCCCTACAGGACTTGGTTTCGTTTGAGATGGGAAGTGTGCACAAGTCCTGCAGGTTGCACTGATGAGGCTCCTGAAATGTGAGGTTGGGAGAGCAGTTGGAAGACATGTCACCTCCCTGCTCCGCAGGGTGGCTGGCCTTGAAGAAGGGCTATGAGGGCACCGCAGCGCCTGACGTCTGGCGCAACTCCAGAGGTCCATGAAAGAGAGTGGGGAAGACAATAGGGCTTGGCAGCAGTTCGTGGAAGCGAAACTTTGTGCCAAGACCAGAGCAGCCAAGGAGGCTCCCATTGCCTTGGAAAAGGAACTTCGGCTAGAGGATCATTTCCATCAGGAAGTGTACGTGTCGCATCAGTGCCATGCCCAAGGACAAGGACCACTTCATGCACGGGTCCTTTGAGACTGTTGACACTGTGGTCAAGAGCACTCCGCCCAAGCCCCAGGCACGGCTTGAAGTCTTCAGGCAGCTTGTCCAGCGTGCGCACAGTGAAGGGCTTCACAAGTGAGACTTGTGGTCCACGGATAAAGGGATGTTCAACTAACTCACTCTGAAATCTCCAGCCGCAGTGATGCTTTGTGTCCAGGGGTCGTTGGCAAGACTCTGGAACAAACCCTGCACCAGTTGGTTGAGGACACGGAGCACATGTCAGGGTCGCAAATGGTTTGCCGTTGCTGGCTGAAGGTTCCTCGGCGGTGCGGGAAGATGGCAGTGGAGAACCTCCAAGCTAGGCCATGTGAGTTTGAGCCGGTGGATGAACGATCTTTGAACCTGAAATCCCGGCTGCACCACAGCCGTAGCTTGGTTCGTCGCGGGGCTTGGCTTGAGTGCCGAGTTTGCAAGAAAACGACGAAAATCTCAGAAGGACGAGTCCATGCCTGGGTTGCGAATCCCTGCCAGTCGATGCGTGGACAACAGAAGTTGAGGTTTCCGCCTAGCAGCTCTCCTAGCTAGGTTGATGGGGCACAAGGCGAAGGATCCTTGCCCCAGCCACTTTTGCCCTGAGGGCGTGGCGTGCCATTGACTTGGCGAGATGAAAAGAACCGAGAGAAAAAAAAGAGATTCAGAGACATAACATAATTCGAGACGTAGATGCAATTCACGACTTGCCATGTTTGTTTTCGCGGAAAGTGGCTCAAATTGAAGTGACTGAGAACTGGTAACAAGTAAGATGAGCTCAAATCAAGGTTATGCAAACCTATGAAACATCTCAACGCCTAGATAGTTTGATCAACGCTTGCATGCATTGCACCGGTTTACTTTGAAATTCTGGCGGCCTTGTCTTCAAAGGAGGGCCATCGGCAATTTCGCATGCCATTTCTGTTTGGGTTTCGGTTCTGAACGGTGATGTGCCATGATGTGCTCTTGGTAGGCTGCTAGACGTGGTCATGTTGGTGCTTAGCTTGATTCCCCTTACAAAGTTTTCATGGCAACTGTATTGCCTGGCAGCTCTTTGCTAAGCAGCACAGAGATTCACAGATTGGTGCATGATTGCAGACAGAAACGGTGGTGCTGATGAGTGGCTATGAGCCTTTACTTGTTTGTAGGACTGGCTGAAGCATGTTCAAAGCTTTAGATGAGCGCATTGAGGACCACATTTTTTTCATGGAAACAAACTGTGAATTTGTTTGGTCTTCGCAGCAGTGGGGTAGGAAGAAATCATCTCCGGAGCGGTCTCCGATGTTTTCTTTGGAGTTGGTCCGAAGGAGGCCCTGACCTCAGTTGAGTGATTCCGGTTGCGTTGCAGCCTTCCAGCATCTTCCCTAGGAGGCCCACTTCTTCAGTTCGAGGCACGAATTGAGAATCGTTTCTTCCGACTCGTTTGGGCTCGTTGGACGTCAGGGCGAACTTGGCGATGGCCAGCCCTGTGTTCCATGCCATGTTCTTTGGCCCGCAGTGGCACCGAGAGGCGACATTGCTTTAGGTTTTTGGGGCGGGAGGAGCTCGGCTTGTACATTTTATCGGATGCCCCGAGTCACAGGCGGGACGCCAATCCCCGAGGAAGCAGCGGGATGCTCAGCCATTTATATAGACTCTTTTAACACTTTGGAAGCCACCCCGGGTTTTTGTCAGATCGGATAGGTAGGTAGGGTTTAAGGTTGTGTTTGCCAGACCCCTTTATTCTAGAAGTGTACCATCTTGAAAAACACGAAAAACAAACAGAAATCACAAAATGCAACCAGAAAAACAAACGCAATCATAAAAGCAAACAAAACAAACAAACTTGCAAGATCTTGCAAGCAAAAATGGAACAACTCAGCCGGGCTTTCTGGCGCACTTCTTGGAAGGGTCCACGCTCTGGCGCGCTTTCTGGCCACTTTCTGGCGCACTTTTGGACTTTCTGGTGCACTTTTGGTCGCTTTTCTTTTTCATTTTTTTAAACGGCGCCGGGCCAAAAGTCACACATTTGGTCGTTTTTTTTCCCGTGTTTTTCTCCACAAAAACACCAAAAAACGAAAAACGAGCTAACAAAAAACGACCCAAAAGTGCGACTTTTTACTTGGCCCCGGCCCCGGAAAAAGGTGTGAAGAAAAGCGACCAAAAGTGCGACATTTTACCCGGCACCAGGAAAAAAGCGACCAAAAGTGCGACACTTGACCCGGCACCAGAAAAGACCCTTGTCCAGTACTAACCCTACCCGGCCCCTCCAAACTACCCTCTGTGTGTTGCTTGTGTTTTTTTTTGGGGGGTTACTTTCTTATTGTTTCTTTTTGCTTTCTTGGTTGCTTTTTGTTTTGCTTGTGCTTTTTTGGTTGCACTTTTGGTTGCTGTTTTTTGCCTTGTTTTTTTGCTTTCTTGGTTGCTCTATGTTTTGATGGTGTTTTTTTGGCTTGCTGTTTTTTTTAGAGTTTTTTTTTTTTCAAGTTTCTTGATTTCTAGAATAAAGTCACCTCTGGTGGACACAAGTTTAAGGAAGTGTAATCCTTTCCCTGTCCCTGATGCAAGCATAGACAGAAGTTGTGCAGATGGAGGGTCCTGGTAGCTTTGGTGCTTTCTTGGCCTTCATTGTGCCCCTGTTCCCAGCGGGATTGGCGAGCGGCGATCAAAGCACCGCGTAATTGGTTGAGGCGCTGGGACCATGTGCCTGTCTGAGTGCGGATGAAGCAAGCACTGAGCTCGTGAGTTGATTGGTGAAGGGGGGCTTTTTTAGACCTTGTGACACAAAGGAAGAATGGATCCAAATCCACACAAATCCACTGGTTGGAGGGTCTCCCTAGTCTATTGCAACAAGGATCGCCCAGGTGGTAGATTGTGGCAGGGCATCCTTCTGCCTCAGATGCACCACGCAGTGCCAGGTGAGTATAGAGTGACGAGACCCGTTTTGTCTCCGAGGATTGCAACCAGACGTCCTCCGCGCCGAGCTCTCCACGTAGTCGGGCACTGAGTCGTCCGGTGGTTGTGGTGGACCGAGGGCCTTGGTTCGAAGCAGTGTTTACCAACTGTTCTCTCTCTCTCTTTCTCTCTCTCTTTCTCTCTCTCTCTCTCTTTCTTTCTCCATCCATGCATGTGCAGGCGAGGAATCACAATCCTTTGATATCTTAGGTCTTAGGATATCATAGGAGGTTTGTCAGATGCAGTTCATTTCGATCAAATCTGTCTTCTTTTCTTCTCGCCATCTCATCCGGGCCTGTGCAGAGAACCACACACACAAACATGCAAATTATGAACAGCAACCCACAGAGAAACACAGACAAGTCCAGATCAAAAAATACAAGTCCATCGCAAACTAAAGCCAACAAACTTACAAGGCCCCGAGTGAGCTGCCTATTGTGTAGGTTCTCAGGTACACGTTTGATCACGTTTGCATTGTTGCCATGGCTTGAGCTTTGGGTGCAAAGAAACCCTCTCCCGCATCAATGACGGCTGCATGTATAGCTGTCTCACCAAAGCAAACGCACCACAAATACTGGACCAGCATTCGTTTGCAGCTACCAACCCCTAACCCAGGAATACTTGAACCAGAGGATTTTGGGCAGTGCAGATCATTCGAACCTGTCTGAACTGTGGTCCAAGGGTGGTGTTATCACTTGCTTGGTCGGGGTCACACTGCATGGATGGCTGAGGTCGTGCAGCAGCCCCCGCGGATCCTTGGGGCCACTGCAGCATGGCCCTCGGGCGAAACATCATCCCTAAGCAGCACCAGCAGCGTGCCTGTGTGGCTCTGAAGGTCCGCGCACCTACGTCACGGAACGGCTCCAGCATCTTGGCTCAAGTGCAACTGTATATACTTATTTATAGGTCTCTACTTCTTACTCTACGATGTGTGTGTGCGTGTGGACACGAAGTTACTCTTGGATGTCAGGTTCCGGCGAGGGCAACATCACTATGTTGCAGTTTCTGACATTGAGCCGAGTGCGTGTGGGACTCAAGGGCCGAGAGCATTGCCATAAAAGAGTGTTGATTCCTGAACCCACAACCTGCCTGTCGCGGTTCAGCCACCAAGGTTCAAGTGCATGCTGCGCTATGTGCACCATTTGGATCCATTGCTCTCCCTGGACAATGCCATTCCTGCCTGTTGCCGTGGCCGGTCATTTGCGCGGATTACGGGAGAAGTCGCGGCAATCGTCAGGCCATGCAGGTGTACAGGGCCGCGGACAAGTACCAGATCTTTGGCCTGCACCGAGCTGAGAGTTGCTGAGTTGTACGCTCCCTGAAATCATCATGGAAGTGGAACACCATTTGATTGTAGAGAATCTAAGGGGGCCATGCCATCCACTTCCATGATGATTGAGTTGTGCCCACTCCGATCCAGTCATGAAGCGTCGGCAGGCTTGACGCCTGCGGAGTTTTTCTCGACAAGCACGTCGACCCCAGCAACGTCACGCAGGCACCTGGCAGGAATGAGATTCAAAAGAGGAAGAGGATACGAAATACAGTCGTCCTTCCATATTCTTTGTATACATCAATGTCGGTGGCTCTCAGGATTTCTTTTTAACAGACCCATGAGCTGACATGTTGACTGTCAGTGCTTTCATCATGGTTACATGTTGCAGGGCCAATTAAGGTCATTGTTCGCAGGTCCTGAGACTCTTTGACGTCGCCTGTCGATTGGGGCAAGAGAGGTCAGGGGCCCCGCATGAGAGTGACAATGGGTTCAAATCTGCTTTGGAACGGTGGGGAGACTTTACACAGCATGAGAATCAGCATTGAACTGCAGGTGGTCCCAAAGCTTCTTGAGGATCCTTGAGCAGCTTTCCAGGGTGCAAACGCGACAGGCAGAGATATAAGACAGTCCTCCAGTGTTTGAGTTTGGTTTGTGTTCGCAGCTTCTACTGTAACTGACAAGCCTCTCGTTTCAAGCTCCCTTTGAAAGCTTGAAAGCTAGCGGAGGGCTTGGAAGTGTTGAATCAGGTGCTTCAAGCACAGGAGTTCTTAGAATTGCACTCCGTGTCCGCACCCCAGTGCGCTCTTCCTCGCAGAGGATGTTTATCAGAAAAGCGTTGGAGGCACATGTGAGGATGATCCTGGATCCCTTTGGAAACAGGTCAGCCGGTCAACATTTTTGAGAACAGGATTGCTGTGGAATTGGCAACGCACTCTACGTAGGACCGGTGTACCTCAGTCACGTGTCCATAGTAGTGGAACTGCACAAAAAAAGATCCCATCGGGCCCCATCACATCAACGGTGACCAGTCAGGCCCATGTGGTCCACGCAGATGTGGGCTTCTTTTTGGATCTTTTCTTGGAGGTCAGATGTAGCCCGTCCTACCGAACCGTGGTCCTCAAGTCAGTGCTACAACCGCTCTGACTCTTTTTTCAGACTCAAGTAGCGCAGATCTACACAGATTCGGAAGATCTGGAAATCCTTTCCCTTAGGGCCCAAGGCTCACGCACATCATGGAATACCGGAATACCAAGGAATATACACCAAGTTCTGTAATCTGCTGTGTTCGCCACGAAAATTCAGAATTCTTCTGAACGCAGCCGGCCCGGCCAAGATCGTTGGCAACCCTCTTGGGCTCGGATGGGCTCTGTGTGAACGAGGCGAGGGTCTAGAAAGGGCCACGACTGGCTTGGTGCATTTTCGTGCGTGGGAACATTGGAGACGGCTAGGTGGTGTTTGACTTCTGGAGTGCCGCACTGATTGAATGAGAAGGATTGACATGGCAGGAGCGCTTGTGGGGTGCTATTCGTTCGTGGGCAGAGGTTCGAGTGCCTGGCACCCAGAGGTGGAGGATGGGCGCTTGCATGCCTGCAAACAGGGGCAGCAGCTCAGTGGACCCTTCCAAAAGCTGCTAAAAGTTGCCGTGAGGGGGAACATCATCCTTTGGCAAACGTACTTTCCAATGCACCCGTTGCTGGCACACACACACACACATTCTCTCTCTCTCTCTCTCTGTTTCTTTTTGCGGTGGACATTTTTGTTAATGATGTTTATGTTTATGTTGGTTTGGGGGCCAGCTGAGGATGTACAAAGAGCAGTCAGAACCAGAGGCACCTTTATCGCTGATAATTGCCCACACAGCAAAACTGTGTAGAGTCTAGAGCCACATGACAGGCCACTGGTGCAGGTGTGGATCAAAGGCCAACGGCTGTGGCTGCCAGTGAATTGGTCGCCTGGCTCGGCATAAAGGGCCTGTCGTCAGCGCCATGCGTGTCCCCGCGAAAATGGGAAACTTTGGCCTGAAGATGTGACACGCAGCTAATCACCTGAGTCATGTGAGGTTCCAAGCTGGCAGGACGCAGTCAGGTGCGTCAGCCGAAGTGTTCAAGTTTTGACTTGACCAGTTCTTGAAACGAAGACAGTTTGTCAGTTTGTCTTCTTTTCTCCCCAACTTGGGCGCACGTGCACTGGTGCACTTTAGTAACTTTAGTTCATGACAGAAAACTGCTTTGATGGCTAAGGCCCTTCAGGCATTTGATTCGATTCCCTGCAATGTCTGCACCGGACTGAGAGCGTTGTAAGTTTATCCCATCGAGGGCACAGAGAAGTTGTAGCTTGTCCTGCACATCCACTTCATCCACTGCTCCGAGAACGCACGCTTGTTGATCGGTCAGGGTGGGCGGAATGGCTTTGGGCTGATTGAGGCGTCATTCTTTGCGAAGGAAGTGTCCAAGAGTGGAGTGGGGAGCTTCAAAGCCCGTGTCATGCCAGTGCATGTAGTTGATTTCAATCAAGTGATATCTAAGCCTGGCTGGCTGGCTTAGGTGTTGTCACACCAGGAAGTGGTTGACATTTTTGGCTTTCTCGCTCACAAGGCGCGAGAATAATCACAAGGAGGGCTTGACCGCGACACACGACCAACACATTGGCTATGAGGCCAGCAAAGACCCTTTAACTGATGCCCATTTCTTAGCCCACAGCTGTCGGTGCGGCTTTTGAAAGGCGTGTGGACGTGGGCATCAAACTTGTGCAGAAAACGCACACTGCCAATAGCACCAATGCTTTGTGCCAAAAACTGAGGATGCCGAAGGTGAAGCAGATGTGCCCTGCTGCGGGAACGAAGTAATTACTCGAAGGTGAAGCAGATAGCCATGAAGATGTGGACACTTTATGCAACAGCATCTTGCTGCCAATGCGGACCTGAGCGGGTACCATCAGGAGCAGATTTCGTTTTTCTCAGGTACAGGTTGGTGGTGTGTACCGCACAGACAGCCGTATCCCAAGGCACGGGCTAGAGGTCGATTGGTGGCTTGCTCGAGTGGGTTTCCAACACATGCACGTACCGAAACGGGGAAGTTGAATATGATCTTGCCGCGGCGGCCGTGTTGGAAAGACTGAGTTTAATGAAATAGTTAATTAGTTACATGTGCTACACCATGTCGCCAAGATGTAGAATTAAAATATAATGAACATTAATGAACTATATACATAAAGTCATACACATATATATAATATAATGTAATGCAATGTAATGTAATGTAAAAAATATATATATATATTATATACAGTATTGCTTTTCAGATATCAATTTGCTTTTCTTCTACGACGCCTAACGTCCCACGCGTGGTTCTTCTGCGCCGGTTCGTGCATGGATGCTAGGCTTGGTTGGTGCATGGCTCCCGGTCAGTCGGATCCCATGCTCAGTGAGGACGCTCGTCGAAATATGTCGACATCAGCGAAAAGCTCTCGGCTTTTGAAGACGTTTTGTTGTGAAAAACGCTCCAAATCAGCTGGTAAAGGCAGATCCAAGGAGACTGAGTAGACGTCCGTGGTCTCAACATGTACCAACGACAAACCACAAGCTTTGGCCTTTATCCGACTGATGCGGATGCAGGAGTTTGGCCTCACCGAGGGGCGGGAATTGACCTTCCCTCAGCGAGATGCGCTGTTGGCTGTTGGTTCTCTAATGTTCTGAATTGTTTTGTTGTTTTTCTTCTTATCATTGATGCCGCAATACTATATACAAGTATAAAAGATTGATCCTGTCTCGCAGGATGACAACTGTTGGGCTGGACTCTTGGTTTGGATGAACGACCAATCAGAGCTTTCTCCAAACACCCCGACAGTGTCATTCTCTAGACTTAGGTCCGTTGTTGTGGATGGCCGTGGATTGTCTGCCTTTTCATGGGGATCCAGCGTAATACTAGCAGGAGCTCCATGCACACATCTCCTGGGTTTGCTTGCTCTCATGGCAACTGATTGAATTTGCTGAGCCACAGAGCATCTTCGACTTCGATGACGGTCCTTCGCGGAGAGAAACCATGCAGGACCCGGCACCGGCTTTCACCTGGCTTTTGGCACTCGGGGGTTCAATTCAGGGTGCTCAGCTCAGCGGTCTCTCGCCTTCCTTTGGAGCGAGTCGCCGTTGCGCGAGGCGTCATGCTTGGACCATTTCATGGCGGCCGATGGATTCCTTGCAGCCTGGCTTGGGTGACTTGGCACATCCGGTCACGAGGTCCATGCCTTTGCGTCCGTTGTGGCTTCTCTTTCGCTCATGGGAGGGTCGGTAGGTCCATGCGAGGATCATTTATTGAATTGAACAAGAAGATGGTCACAACGGCAGAGCCTTTCAGCTTGGGCAACCTCACAAGTGTTTCCCCCAGGCAAGCTTGGTGCGACATAGTGTTTAGCTGCGTTGAGTTGAAAAAGGGCCTCCATGAACATAGGGTACCCTGCTGTGCCCTGCTAATAATTACCTCATTTACTCTAGATACTCAACGGTTCTCACGCAGATTTGTCTCAGGCAACTTCAGTTGATTTCAAATTTCAATCAGTTGAAGCAGAGGCCGTACCCGGTGTTCACGCGGCGGCGCGGCTCCCAAGAATGGAGCGAGCACACTTGTCCGTCAAGTTGATGCTGGCGTATCGTGGCGCCTGGGGCAGTGTTTTGCCTATATACAGACAGATGCCCCGGAAGATGGACCGTTTCACCAGGGAGAAGCTCTAAGCCTACTCATTTCATATGGCTGGTCTCTAGGATGCAACACTGAAACAAGTACACAAGGGCATCGCTACTAGTAACAAGGGTATCACTACTAGTAGCTAGAAGCTCTAGCAACAAGGGCATCGCTACTAGGGTATGCTAAGGGTGCAACACCGAAACAAAAGCCGGAGGGCCCTTCTAAGTCCCATGACATCAGGTGCTGCAGGCATTGCACGAGATGTCGAGGGCTTCAGTGAAACAAGGCGCTCGATTCGCGGCATGCATCTGGACCCGCATGAAGACGGTGATGCAAGTACAACCAGGCGTAGCAGGCGTATTGTTGCAAGTAGATGATTGTTCAAAGCATTTCAAGACCGCCCACCAGGGCCTGTTTGGAAGCATTGGCCACATTTTTGGGTTCTGTTTGCGATGAACTTGGATGACTTGCTTCCAATAGCAGTGCACCTCAGAGGGCACTACAAACCCGTCAGTTTTCTCAAGAAGCTACCTATGACTGTGTCGCACACTGTGGAAGATGATTTTGCTGCCTCCATCAGGTCTGTGGTTGAAAGAACCACTTCGTCGTCAGCCTGGTGCCAAGATTGTCGAGCCTTTTGCTCAAACTCCATTGAAAAAGGGCCCAATCTTTCCGAGCTACAGGCAGTCCCTGCAACTGGGGGAGTTGCTGCTTTTGCCACAGGCAAGAGCCATTTTGATTCCTCCTCAGGACGTGGCAAGATGCAAGAGCTGACTTTAAATCAGAGGATGTAGGGGATGTTAGAGTACTAGTATGTCGGGGTTATCCTAACCCTCTGGCGTTGCCATTGTTGTCACCGCGCAAGTGCCAACATATGAAGAACGAACAGCGTGCTTGGATATTCCAGAATCAGTGTGAACATCCGAGCCATTGTGTTTTCTTGTGCCATGGCATATGCCATTTTCCAGACAAACTATGCACTTGCAGGGCTGGCACAGAAGGCTGTAGCAGTGGCGGCATGGAATCCTCAGTTGTGACGTTGTTTGATATAGACTAAATTGAAAAGGATTAAAGCAGGGCACTCCCTGAAAGGTCTGCAAAACTTATGAAGGGCATGGCCCCTTTCCTTCGGATCACCATGTTCAAAACCGAATGCCAAACAGCGATTGGCGCCATCCACGGTCACCATCGTCGTTGGAACGTCGCGGGGGCGACCACTCGCCCAAGGTGCCACTGGGCCGAGGCGCGGGCGGTGACGGCGTCGGGAGTTCCACACGGTGTGACCTTAAAATGCCGAGAGAGAGAGAGAGAGAAGGCAAGCACCTTTTGGTACACGAAAAGGTGGAATAGAAGGTACATTGGGAGAAGTGTGGAAAAGGGGAAGTAGAAAGCAGAAGAAAGGACCTCAGGAGCAAAAGCATTGTCAGCGATTAAAGGCACACACACATAATCACAATCGTGCTAAACCAAAAGGCAAGTTGAAGGTGAAAGCAGACTCCTCCTCAATTGTAGTTCTTCTTGGACATTGTTTGGCTTTAATTTGCTTTGTCTCAGCTTGTTTTTTTGCTTGTTGATTTGCTATGTTTTTTTTTGTTGCTTTACAATACAATACTTTTCATTATTTCACATTTGTTCAATCCCTGGTGTTAGTTCTTTTTTTGAGCATCCTGCCTTCTATTGGAATTCAAGATCATTTTGGGAGTGCAACATGCAGTGACAGGCAGTAGGGATCGCTAGATACTTTGTCACTTTCTTAAGCCAAGGGAAGGTCAGAACATTACAGTGAATAGAGGGTTTGTCGAGACAATACGTTGTTTTTGTATGAGCATTCTTGCGAAACGGAGCACTGCATTCCATTTGCCAAGGGTCTGTGCCACTTCCAGCATCCATGGCTGCTGGCGTAGGATTGCGCCTTAGTTGCTAAAAGCACCCTCTGAGCAAAGGAATAGCTTCAAGATTCAAGACTTGAGTGTTGTCAAACTTGTGTTTTCACACCGCCAGGCACAGGAACTGGCACAGAGGCGTGGTGTGTTGCTGACCAATTGGGTCATTTTTTGGGGTGTTTTGTCAGCCGTCCACTTTCCTGACGGTGCGCGCGTGACGTCCGCGAGCCGTCGGCTCGCAGGAGCCGTCGGCGAGATTTTTGGACTGGCCGCCAGGAGCTCAGAGACCGTTCACGCCGCCGTAGGAGAAAGCTCGCAGACCGACGCTGACGTCGACCGTCTTCGTTTTTTGTCGTTTGGAGGTCTTGCATCGTCTTTGGCGTGAAGAGGGATGTGGTGACAGAGGGTCGCTATGTGTGGAACTTAGAACCACTTGATGGCCACTATGCGTGCTTTCTCGAGTGCTATTTCACACATGAACGCATGATTATGCACTCAGGTGGCCTGGGAGGAAGACCTGTCCTCCACGGATGTCATGAAGCAGGAGCTCCAAGAATTAGGAGGGCATTTTTGGTGCCAAGGATAAGATTTTCTGAAGAGGTTGTTCAGCCAGATTCAATTTGTAAGCAAAGAGAGCCGACAGAACTTCAATGAAGACAACTGCACCAAAACAACAAAGCTCCAAAGGTTTTCCATCGTGTTGGACTTCCCAGCCCGCACGATTACGTGCCCCCAGACAGCACAAACAGCTCGTAAACGAACACATGGACATGACATGACATGCCACCTTGACCAGATGGGCCAACCTGCAGGTACATTGCAGACCGGGGTGGGCGATGTTGGTCGGCTGCGATGACGCATGAAGGCGCTCTGCTGATCAGATGTGGAATCAGGAGATCTTCGAGTATTCCAGGTCTGACTGACCCCCTCAGTCTTCCACAAAAGATGTTCATGTTGCATGCTTGCTTCTTCCTGGGCATGCGTTGGGGCAGCGCCACAACATGGCTGGACTGCTCAAAACGATTTGCGTAGGAACAAGAAGCTACTAGTAACTAGTACTAGTAGCAACGGGCATCGCTACTAGGAGCAAGGACGCTACTAGGGGCTCCTGGCCGTACTACTAGGAGCAAGAACGCTACGAACGGAACAAGAAGCTGCCAGTAGTGCTACTACTATATACTAAGAGACTTTCCTTCTTTCCGTTGCAACACAGCCATTGGATGTACCGCTGTTTGGCACCAGACGAAGGCGGCGGGATAGCCGGCAGCATTGACGCCATGGGCCGTCGCCGTAACGAGGAGGATGATGATGACGATGCCTTTGGAAGCGCTGGATCCCAGTTCTCTAGTGATGAGGAAGTAGAGAAAAAGCAGAAGGACGCTACGGGGGACAAGCAGGATGAGGAACATAAGGAGGCCCAGGAGAAGGGAAAGAATGAAGATCCAAAAGAAGTGAAGGTCGACAGAGCCGAGCAGAAGGAGGAGGAGGAGGAGGAGGCCAGAGGGAAGGCTTCAAAAGAGGCTGATGCTGATGAAGAATTGCCTGCTCAGCCGGCTGAGGAATATTTGGATGCTGAATCAGATGAGAGTGAGTGGACATGGAAGCCTAGATCAAAAGAGAAGTGGGAAAAGAAAACCGATAAGGTCGAGAGAACGGAAAGAACCGAAAGAAATCGAGGTCCCGAGAACGTCCCCCGTGACAATCGCTATTTCCTCCACGATGAGCGACAGGAGGTGAAGGAGGAAGGCGAGAAGAAGGAGGAAGAGCCGAAGCAGAAAGGAAAAAGAGAAGATAAAGACAAGGAGTCCAAAGAGCCAACGGCAGATGATGATGGAAAATGGCCCCATGACAAGTACTATGAGCTTCTTGAGGAGAAGCCAAGAGCAAAGGCACCGAAGTCCACTGTGAATCCACAGGATGATGATGCCGAAGATGACTGGGCTGCAGCTGCCGATTGGCGCACCCTTGGTGACTATTTCAAGTCCGCCACTTGGACTGATGGCAGAAGGGGCAAAGGCAAGGGCAGAAACAGCAGAGGTAGCAGAAGCTCTGACTGGAATGACAACAATTGGTGGGAAGATGACAACAGTAGTTGGAGCAAATGGGACTCCAAGAAAACCTCCCAGAGCTGGGACTGGGAAAAACCACGGGAGAGAAAGGTTGCATATTGGACCTAGGCCTGCCAAACGGCTCGCTTCCCTGTGAATAGAACAGAGAAGCCGAGACAGATTAGGGATCTATACAAAGCGCAAAGCGCTCGAGCGCTTTTTGAAGACAAGAGTGCCTAATCGACGTGCAAGAGTTAGGAAAAGAGCTGTTTTTGTTGGCCGGAGGGCGCAGGAGCATGATCAATTAGAGTTTGTCAGTGAGTGAACAATGACAGTGCGCGTGTTGCATTTGCATGACTCAGACTTATTCGTGTCAATTCAGAATGCTAGGCCTTTACCAGATCACGAGTTACAGTAAATTCATGTGATTCATGCCTGAGAAGTGTGCGATGATGCACGACACAGCCTCGAGCACATTGCACACGGGCTTGGAGTGTCTTGTGATGTCTTGTGTGTCTCACTTCGTGGGTTGTGCGATGTTTTGTGCATGTTTGTGCCTTACGCGTTCGTGTCCTTGCGCAAGCTCCTCGTTGCATAGGTCCGGTCTATCCAGTGATTGCGGCATCCGGGCCGCACTTTTTCTCCATCGAGTGGCCCGACAGAGGGAGAAGAACATCAATCATTTTGCTTTGAATTCAACGACTTCCGCCAACCACCGGGAAGTCCACAGTTTTGAGGATATGTGTTCTCGACCAAAATCATGCCAAATCGGCTTTAGTTTTTGCCGGTACTAGCCTGCTACCCATACCCGCCTCGGGATAGGGATTTCATGGGATTTCTCATTTGGCCAGGTATGGCTGCCATGTCTGAGGGCCCCGTCGCCGAAACGTGTGTCCACATGCGTAGCTTTGCGGGCGAGCTGGCCTATAAGACCCAGACAAAGCCGCCCTTGTATCTTTCCGTTTCACCGTGTCACCGCTTGGTTTTTGCATTTATGAGCACCACACGGCCAAAGTGTTGAGTGGTCGTGCCAGTGGCGCAGCGCCTAATCTGGGCGTTGCACCCGAACGGATCTGAAAGCTGCCTGGGGAGAGCAGCTTGGTCCTGCGAAAGCGCATCCAGATGGTGAGAGAGGTGGGAATAGTTCGATGGCTGTTAGAAATCGCTGTGGAGAGCCACTCAGTCACTTAGTTGAAGGTGCGACCGGAAAGTGTTTGTTTGTCCATTGCCATTTGTCCTGCTGGATCAAGGAGCGTGTGCACGAGCATCGTGCAATTGACAAGATGAAGAGATAGAGGGAGACTGAGCGAGAGAGAGAGAGAGAGAGAGGTGCAAGCAGTATACACTGTTTCTTTGAGTGTTGCCTTCAGGAAAGCAGAAGGTTTCCTTCTGGGTGCAGTGCAAATATGTGCACCAATGATATGTATTTGCCTGCTTAATGATGCTCAGTATGCTCTTTGCTGCGGAGCCTGTGCACTGCACCAGATTGTGAGCAGGGTGCCATGGGATAGGGCAGCTTGCCTTGCCGGACAAGCACACTGACCGAAAACGAGCCATGGCTGTTTAGCACGCGAGGATATGCGAAATGTGATATGTGCAGTCCATGTGTTTCCCGTTTGGGTGGACAAATAGACTAGGCCAGGCAATACATGGCAACACTTCGAACTTCGAACTTGGATTTTCAGTTAACGCAATTGTCTCAATGGGAAAGAAGGCGATGGAACGGCAAGGTGGAAAGGTCAGCTTAAAATGTATTGTTTAACACAGGTTCCACGACAAGCGCAAATGGAGGCGGCGGTCAGCAGCTGCAGTGCAGTGGGAAACCTGTTTGTGGGGAAAGTATCATGTGGAACCACCATGAATCAAATCGTGGAAAAGTAGGGTGACAGCTTGTGAAAGACCTCAGCAGGTACGTTCAGAGAGCGTCCTCTCCGAATGTCACAGTCTCAAACCACCGTCTTCGTTGGGCAGTGGATGGAATGAGACTCACTGCCCCCCTGCCTGTGGAAAAGTGGTGGGGTAAGACCCTTTGTCCAGGGTGGGACACACACACACACACTGTTTCCATTCTTTTGTGCGCAGGTTGTTTGAGAATGTTTGGGAGGACTCCAGTGGCCTTTTCTTGGGATGTTATTTTGTTTCTTATCTTGGTCGTGCTTTGGTCATTTTTCAGGGCGCGGCTGACGAAGGAGTTCGGCGAATCGTCCGCACCTCCGCCTTTGAGTGTCAAGGGCCTAGGAACGCTGAGAGCTCCAGAGGGCACGCCGCAGGAGGCACTTCACCCAGCCTTCGGAGACGGAAAGCCACGTGCGGTGCTCCCTGCGGCACATCGCCCGCACCCACGAATCCAGGGGACGGCCTCACCTCGGTCAGCACGGTCGGCCAAGTCTGCACAATCGGGATTTTCAGTGTCCGAGACTCAGATCCATACAGAACAGGGGGGGAACGGCCTAAGGCCTAAGGAAGCTGAAATGCATTGAATGTAAATAGAGGCTGTGGCCACAGTGGCCCCAAATCTGAGGCCGCCAAGTACCTTGTCTCCTTCTGGGGATGATGAGCCCAGCTTCGTTGTGCCTTTGCAGTATCCTGCGCGAGATGCCATCTGCATAATTCAGGGTAAGGCAGAGGAGGAGTTTGAAGAGTTTTGCAGGAGAAGAACTGACGATGTTTCTGGGCGCCAATATCTGGAGTTCCTTGGCTTGCGACTCATCCTCCACCCGGAGACCGGCTCCAAGGGCTGGCGAGTCGAGGTGCAGAAGGCGCTGCCTCAGGCAGTTCAATTTTGGGAGCACCACAAAGGCATCCGTCAAGGCGACCTTCTCACTGCAGTCGATGGGAATGAAGTTGCCGCATTGGATGGAGCCATGCTGGAGAAGGCCTTCTTCCATCGTAGTCGTAAAGGTCCACGTCACTTGGTCTTCCGGCGCTCGGTCTTGAATCATCTTCGATGGCTCCGTGAGGGCCAAGTGGCCACCCCTTGGGAAGAGCAAGCAGAGCCAAAGGTGCTTTCTGGTGTACAGCGGCTCGCCGAAGAGGTGCGCGCGGAGGAGGACAGAAGGCGTGTGATGGAACAACAAACTCTTTTGGCCCAAGAGTTGGCTGCAAAGCTCACACTCACCCAGGAAAGTGAACGTGAGTATGTGAAAGCCGAAGCGGAGCTCTTTGCCGCCAAGAATCTTCGAGACGAGAAGGATGAACGGATGGAGTCCTTGGTGGAGCAAATGGCAAGGAAAACCGAAGAGACGGCACTGCAGAAGCTCAGCCATGAGCATGAGATTCATGCAGCTGAGATGCAGGCTGAGGCTGAGGCCTGGAGGCGAAAGAAAGATTCCAACTTGGAGGACCCAGAAAAGCAGCAAAACTTTATAGTAATGACCAACGTTTCCTTGGGAATCGTGCCACCTGTAGCAACAAGAAGCTTTTTAGTATGTCTTTGAAGCTTCTTAGTAACAAACAACTTATATAGTAATTTCATGTAATTTGTTTAATTATAGCTATAATTAAATGTTTCAGCACTCAGTACCTCAGGCAGTATCTCCTTGATTCTTGCCCTGACACGGATTCCTTTCCATGCGACGCCAGACATGAATCGACCAGGACTTTCTGAAGAAGGCCTCCAGCGAATTGGACACTTTGGAAGCACAGGCCTTATGGACTGAAGCTACTAGTAACAAGTGCATCGCTACTAGCAACAAGTTTGTTGTTCTTTTAGCCCGCTCACTGCTCACCCCCTCCCTACTTAGTAACAAGGGCATCGCTAGTACAGTAGTAACAAGTGCTGCTACTAGTAGCAAGTGCATCGCTACTAGTAACAAGGGCATTCTTTGCCTCTCTCTCTCTCTCTCTGTCTGCGCCAGGAGCAACAGATGCTCAAGACCAAACAGTCGCTGGAGGTTCCGCGGTTTTCAGTTTGGGTGCCACGGAACCAGACACCAACGTGAACATGGAAGCATGCTTTTTTAGCTTTGTTCTTTCGGGTTGAAAACGTGGCTGCCGCTACAACAGAGTTTCACTCCAAGCTCCAAACCAAAATATTGTTGGCCCTTGGACCACAGCCACTTAAAGCCATGCTGGGGACCCCTGCACACATGATGGTAGGTGAGGTTTATAGTGATGTTCCTTGCCACCTCAATTCACTGGTCCATGTGCCAGAAATGTCCAACACACAGACAGAATGATATATCGCTACTAGTTATAAGTTTCCCTAAGAATCTAGGAACCAAATCATTAGCGCGAGCTATCCTGCCTCCTGTCAGTGGTAACTTACTTACAGTTAGTAGCTACCTAGCAAACCTACCTCTACGGCCGACTCCCCCTAAAGAAAAAGCAGCATGTTTTCATTCATCGTCATGCGGTGCTTTCGGACCCACCGCTGTGCCTAGGGGAAGGTGGAGCTGCGGCGGCGCACGCTCGAGGTGGCCAAGACGGGCATCCTGAAGGCCACAGAGGTGCGCGGACGGATATGGTGTATGCTGGTGTTGAGAGTTGGTGCAGAAGAACTGATGGAGTTTTGGAGAGGAAATCATGAGGAAGGTCGGAGAAGTGAGTTTGTTTTTTCATGTTTTTGTTGCGGGGTGCCTGTGCTGGAATGGTTGCGTGATTTTGCGTGCATATCCACAGTTTCTGCATCGATCTAGGCGAGAAGTCGTGTATAACGTTTAAAGTTGGAATGATTGAGGATATCATCAGTGCCACACCGTGGAGAACCCCTGCCAAGCCGACCGACTATGACTGCGCTGTTGTGAACTGGTGGCACATGGTAGGCCCTGACCGACCAGCATGGCAGGTGGCTGATACACTTGAGCAGCGCTGCAGATCGGCAGCCCTTCGTTTGGAGGTTTGGTTCTTTTTGTTTCGCCAGCGTGCCAGTCTGCTAGAAGGGAGAGATTTGAGAAGCAGCTACTGAGCATTTCCAAGTCTTTCGTGCACTGTGCAGGAAGTGGAGACCTTTGCTGCACGAGCACTGAGCGAGGAGCAGGCTTGGGCGATTTCGGTGTGAGGTGCGGATTTCATGCTTTACAATGTTTGATGTACATTCTTGATTCTGCGGGACTGCCACAGCCGTGGCAAGAGCCGTGGCAAGCCGTTCACAGGTTTTGGAGGCCAACTTGGAGGGCGAGGAGGCTTCTGCTGCCTCCTTTAGCCGACAGAATGCTCAGCTTCAGGCATGCTTCACAGCTTCGTATGTCGCATGTCGCATGTCGCGTCACTGACAGCATAGCACTCCGGTGGTGCCACATGGCACCCTTTTTGCAGGGTCACCCGTGACAAGCCAGGAGCAGCTTCGGATCTTCAAGCTGAAGTCTTCAAAGGCATTGGCAGAGATCGAGGAGGACAACGGAGAAATGCCAGACGTAGATTGTGGGATGACCTGAGGGTGATGGGAAGCGAGCGAGAGAGAGGAAAGATCAAAAAGAGAAAGGATGAATTTTGTGAGAGCATGGGCTCATGGCTAGGAGGAAGGGGAAGCCGCAGCCCTCAAAGCCAAGCTCCTGGAGCGACAACAGGGTCAGCAACAGCTATCACAGGAGCTTTTTTGCGACTTTGAGTCTTCCGAACGTTCCTGGTATATAACTATTGTGTTGAGGAGATGCAGCATTGGTACCATTCTGAAGAATACCATTTGGAATTGGCCCAGCGTCAACTGGACTTTGACGAGAAGAATATGGGCGACTTGTCTCGAGAACGTTGTTTTGTTCTTTTTCCCCAAACAGTTTACTGTTGGGGGTTCTCAATGCTTTAAAGAATGGTCGCCTTGGTGCTGGATGGTCTGGTCGGGTTCCCGGCCGGCTTGTCTCCCACTTCCTTTCATTTGTCTCCCAGTTCTTTTCATTTGTCTCCCAAGATCGGTGCTTGTGGTCGGGTTCGCGGCTGGCTTGTCTCCCACTTCCTTTCATTTGTCTCCCACTTCTTTTCATTTGTCTCCCAGGCTGGGTGCTTGTGGTCGGGTTCTCCCACTTCCTTTCATTTGTCTCCCACTTCTTTTCATTTGTCTCCCAGTTCTTTTCATTTGTCTCCCAGTTCTTTTCATTTGTCTCCCAGGCTGGGTTCTTTTC